CAAGCCTGCACTAAGGCAAGCATCCATCCAGCCACACCAAGCCTGCACTAAACAAACACACCTGTAATGCCTCAGCACAGGGTCTAAATCAGTCCTTTCTGAAGTGTTACATCATACCAAGCATGATGACTTGAGAATGTGTTTCTGTCTCCTGCTTGCTTTTTGGTTTCCTTTGCCCAGCTCTACCTGGTTTTTGACCCCACACTTGTCCTTGGATCTATGGAAGTCTGGAGGTAAACCTGTGGTACCTATAACTGGATTGTCTCCCTGTCTGAGCATTGCAACTTGCCTGGAAATCAATGTTAAAATACTATTAACGCCGCCATGAAAAATGTACTGTATAGCTGGCTAACATATTAAACTTTTAAAGATTCCTAACAGGCCTATACTGTGAATCGCTATGGTTTCTATATTATCTGGGGATGCAATTAGCTAGTTGTAGATGTCAAGCTGTGAGATGTCAGCTGAGCTGGCCGGGTCGTTCATCCGGCTCTTCTCTGGCGGACTGGTGTTGCATGAAGGAAGCCATTCGAGACTTAATTTAGACACATGACTCCATGTTCAGGTGAAGGCCGCTCGGATAAACAATCCGCAGACATCCTGTTTGTTTTTGAATGAAACTGGAGGAAAAACATTCTTATGGAATGACAGGAGATAAACTGGAAGTACGTTTAAATGTCTTTTTAATTAAAGCCAGGTATCTTCTCTACAATGGGGTCTTGTGTAAAACCCACTGACATATGTTTTTTAATTAGATCACTATTAATTATCAACATGCTTATAGTGACTCATTTATATAATTTCCTTTAGAGTGTATTCATTTATTCTTCACTAGGAACAGTAGTAGGCAGCTTTATGTGCTAGACGAGGTTAAAGAATTATATAACCATATGTGAGTGTGAGATTTGCATGGGGGGGTGAAATGATCTTCTCAGGCAAATATGGATTTTAAATGCTGGAAGCAACGTCAGGGTTCATCCTGACCAGTGCATTGGCTGCTGTCTTGCACTCTGCTTCATAGAATAAACAATAAGCTGATTGTATTCTGCACTGGATGAGCAGTTATGGATGACGGATGGTAGTAACATCATCAATATCACTCAATTGCACTGTTTTTCTTGAAAATAATCATTGTGGCACAACACAGCACAGATAGTCATCCATCCAAAGCCTGTGAAATGTGTGTGATACAGTATATGAACTCTGTGAATGACAAGTGCCTCACTTGTGGACGTTACTGTCAGTTGCGATCAGCTCATGGTACATAGTTGACTGTCAGCTGCAAACAGGTCACATGGCTCCTGTCTTTCTGTGCAGGGTGTATCATCTTAGGTACAGGAACACATGATAATTGGAGATAGAGCCCATACTCACTAGTGGATTGTGTTTCCTTAGAGACTCCTGACTCTAATAGGATTTTGTGCTCCAGGAACAGTGTCTGCCCGGCAACACTTATAAAGCAGAATACTCAGGGGACGTAACAGGTCTGTCACAGAATTTCTGGGGTTCCTGATAAAATAGATTTTCCAACATGAAATCTTTATTGATTCCAAGGAAGGAGGAGTTTAGGAGTGAACTAGACCTCCTCAATGTGTCAATCAATATGTATTTCATACTTTCCATGGTAATTGGCGTCAATTACTTTTGATTCAGTGCAGGAAAACCACACGAGATAATTACATCTAACATGAGTGGAGAGTGGCAGATGTGGGCCTGTTAAAAGGGCATTTCCCAGTAGCTAAACAGAGCAAGTCTTAGCAGCTCTGAGCCCTGCTCTGTACACTTTTTTGCTCCTCACTCCTGGGGCTCGTACAGAAAGAGCCGGTAGTTTGCTATTGCTGGGAAAGACCCAAGTTTACCTGGCCTAGAGCAGTGGTAAAACGCTAGCGTATGAAAGATGGTAATTCTGAATGAGTCAATGGACAGACTTCTTGTCTCGCTGCTCCAGGGTTGGGCATTGAAATCCCACTCTGCATAGAGTGTTCCAGTTTGCTCAGTGTTGCATGGACTGTACAAGCTGAGTGCTCTGCATTCTTCCTGTAGCCTAAAAACACACAGGCAGGTGAATTGGTATTGTGGCGTCGGGTGGACCAAGGCATCGCGGGAGCAAAGAAAGACACAGAGACGTGCTTGCCGGGGAGAACATGCTCTTTATTCACAGTCCTTAAAAGGACTACATCAGGCACCCAACAGCACCAAACCAATTAAACACAGGAAAGCCAAGGTTGTCAGATGCCGAACTGTAAGATCCACACACGGTGGAAGATTTACACAAGCTAAATACATGCGAGGATCGGACAGGGTACATACAAGACACGGGTAAACACACATGTGACAATAGGGAAATGTAACCATTAACATTAACAACAACACAACAAGGGCTATTTACAACTGCACATGGGGCATGCTGGGACATACGCCTTGCCGGTGCTACAGTATCTTTCATCACTGTGTGTGTGGGTTTGTCCCCACAATGGGAAAACATGTTTCATTTTAGCTTGGGAAAACTTTTAGCAATTTTATAAATCTGTTACTGCAATCAAAAATGCCAGAAGTCTTACTTATGGTTAAGGTTAGGGCTGGAACTTAAGGTTGTCATTGTTAGGATTAGAGATTTGCCAATACAGATGAATGGACTGTCCCCACAAAGATTTAAATAGAAATATGTGCTTGCGTGCGTGTGTGCATGTGTGTGTGTGGGTGTGTGTGTGCGAGCGGGTTTACTTATCCTTATGTGGACATAATGTCCCCATAACGTGATGAATATCCATTTTTTTTTCCCTTATGGGGACCGGTTTCCTGGTCCCCATAAGGGAAAACTATTTTATAAAAATCGGTGACTGCCATGAAAAAACTAAAAATGCAAAAACTCTTGTATTTTGTTAGGTTACTTATGGTTATGGTTAGGGCAGGGTAGGGGTTAAGGTTGTCATAGTTAGCGTTAGAATTTTTCCCATTGAAAAGAATGAGCGGTCCCCATAAGGATATGTTTACCCTACATGTGCGTGTGTGTGTGCGTGCGTGTGTGTGTGTGTGTGTGTACGTACGCACGCGTGCATACTGCAGTGTTCTGTCAAAGCTGTCCTCTGCTTTGTCTCAAATGCCGCCTGTGACCCTTTACAGGATAAAGACCACTTTTGATATAGATGCCATTTTTCTGCAGTGGTGGTTCTCAAACTTGTTTCTTATTGGTTTCACAAAACTAAACATTATTTGGTAACACTTTACATTAACTGCACCCTCATAATGCCTTTATGATGCAATCATAGAACATTCAGTGTACATTCATAATGCATTCGTATAGGGTGACCAGATAATCTATGTCAGGGAGGACACTGAGCTAGGACAGGAATTGTAAATTACCATTTCAGTTAAACAGACCTGGATTTCACTTGGGCACCGAGTTCTTGCTGTGTGCTGATTGGTCAGTCTCCTATAATCATGCATGTGTCACTAATGCTAATGTGAAACAGCTGGATGAGTCTTTCAGTCAAGGAAACAAACTAGTCAAAGCACAAGAAGAGCTGAAGTATTTGGGCGAGCACAAGAGCCTTTTAATTTGAAAGTAGTTTGTAAAACCCGAAATAGCTCAACGTGTCCTCCCTGACATGGATTATCTGGTCACCCTACATTCGTAGAACATTCATAAGCAACATGTAAGTATATCTTAACATGGTAACATACCTTAACAGCTTTAATAGACATTAAATAAATGGTAAGGCTTTACATTAACTGCACCTTCATAATGCTTTTATAATGCATTCGTAGAACATTCATTGCACCTTCATAATGCATTCATAGAACACTCATAAGCAGCATGTAAACAAACCACGACATCCTAACACATCTTACCAGTTTTAATATACATTAATAATGAACATTATATGATAACAAACTTTATAATTGTTTGTTTGTCATTAATGTAGTATATTGAAGTTGTTGAGGTATGTTAGGATAAGGTATACTTACATGCTGCCTATTAATGTTCTATGAATCCATTATAAATGCATTATGAAGGTGCACTGAATGTTCTATGAATGCATTATGAGGGTGCAGTTAATGTGGGTGCAGTTAATTTATGCTGTTTTGTGCTATGAAATAGAACTGCACTTGCATTCAATTAAGTTAGAAAAATATTAATCTGAAGTCCAATTTGAAATTTTGAGTCAATCTTGTACAAATAAGTGCTATTGTCTGAGTTGGACAAATAAGTTTGATTAAGTTATTAGATTTTAGTTTCATTTGCAACTGGCAGAAGATAAATGCTCTAGTGGATGATACCACCTTGCTAGTTTGTTTATAATTAGTGATGACCAGCTGCTTGCAATCAAAAGTAAAAAGGCTGAGATAAGTGTAACAAGCATCTGGTCTGGAGAAATGAGGGCGTGGAGCTTTGGAGAGCTGCTCCTGAGTGCTTCCACCTGCATGCTTTATGTTCTAATTAAGGCTTTTTGTTTTCTGTGATTTTTGTAAATGTGTCAGATCTTTATTTGCAACCTGCTCCAGAACTCACAATACTTCACTGAAAAACTGTAGTTGTAAGATTTAGCATTAATATTTCTTAACAATAGAATTGGGGCAGCATGTTGGCACAGTATTTAGCACTGGGGCCTCACACCTCTGGAACTAGACTTCGACAAGTACAGGTTCTCTGCTATGGCGCATGTATGTGGAGTTTGTCTGTTCTCCTTGTGGTGTTGAGGGGTTTCCTCTGGGTGCCCCTGTAAGTGTGAGTTGTGTTTTGGTGATTGGTTGGCACCTCATCCCTGCCTTGTACCCATAGGTTCTGGACCCCCTGCAACCCTGAATAGGAGAAGCGCTTACAGAAAGTGGAGGGATGGACAGAATAGTAAAACTGCATTATGTTCAGCTTGAAGGAAAACCAGAATGCTGCCAGGTCAGGTGAGTCACATCCTTGAAGCACAGGTCGTAAAAAGCTCTGATTGTGTACAGTGCCTTTTGTGATGTCATGCCTTCTGTTGTATAGCATCACAATGCATAAACATGTCTAATCAGCTCTACTTTCTTTCCATTTTGGTTTCATGGGTTTTTGTAATGAAATTTGTGTAATTAAGTCACTCAGATTAAAATGAGCCCAGCTTAATGCTGATCTCATTAACAAGCCGTGTTCTTCAGCTCAGCTGCCACACCACAATTAGGAGGTGTTGTTATTAGGAACAATTATTTTCTGCATCCCAAGCATTCAATTTATTTAGTAGTGAGGCAAAATGTTTTCAGGGATTGATTCTAAACAGCAGTGTTGAAGAAAAGGTTGGATATACATTAATAGGGGGGCATGAAACATTGATTAACAGGTGGTGGCCATGGTAACCTAGACAGTGTCTTAATTAGCACTGGGTGGGGCATGTGTGAGAGCTGAGCACCTGCAGCAGTGGGGACTTGGGGTTCTGTAAGCTTCCAGTATCAGGCAATATGGGTGCTTAAGAAGCTGAGCAGGAGAGACCCTCGCTAAGTATGATACGAATACACATTACAAACCTTTTGAAAGGGTGAACTCTAGGCAAAAGATTCTACCAGGCTGATGGAAAAATAGGCAGAAAATGAATGTAGCCCATTAGAGTATGACGGCTTGAGGGATATCGCAGTACTTAACTGAGGGTTACCTGCATTCTGATGTATCTCTAGACAAGCCTGTTATTGGGGGAAGAGGCAGTGAAGATAGACTTTTTCTTAATGGTTAATGATCTCCAGCATACTCGAACCACCCTTGACGTACTATGGAAGAGGATTAGGGCCACCATGAAAATATTATTTGAATTCTTTTTTTTTCTAAATTCAGAATTCAAATATTTTCATGGTGGCTCTAATCCTCTTCCGTAACCTTCAGTACCTGTTCTTTTAATAATACGTACGTTGAAAGTAAAGTAGAGGCATTTAAACCTAAATGTCTTAAGATCAAAATCCTATACATAGTTGTTAACTTGTGCTGCGCCCACTCCGTTCCCATGCTGGGTAGGCTCCGCCCACTCCGTTCCCATGCTGGGTAGGCTCCGCCCACTCCGTTCCCATGCTGGGTAGGCTCTACAACAGCCTCTCAGGATGCTTCTGAATCAGGGAACTTTCTCCATATTGTCCTTGCGAAGAATTAACTTCATTCTGTTATAAAACTCAACAAACTGTGCAAAACTTTTAAACATTTTGAAGCCATATGCTTGGATTTTTACCTAGAAAAAAATATTTTAATTTGATTCATGCTTTCAGTGTGTGAGCATTTCTGCCCATTTTACCTTGTCTCCAGTGCTGTTATCAAGTTACAAACCCATGTCTCCATTGTTCCGTTTTGTTTTTGTTTATTTTGTGTTTCTCGCTTGTTTGCCATATGGCAGTCATTATTAGGGTTTATACTACGGTTTATTTTTGTTTTAATTATTGTCCCTAAAAATGAAGTACTGAACTAGTTTAATATATATCTCTGGTCTTAATGAAGGAGGTGTCATAAGCCACACTGAGGTCCCACTGTCTGAATACCTTAATTAGATGACTGGCTGTCTGAGCCAGTGAAATGATTTCTGTAATGTTTCTATGGTATGGTGGTCGGAGGGGGACACACATTCATGCAGGTTATGTGCCAGACTGAGGGTGTTTCTCAATACCAAGAAAGCAAAGACTGTCCTTGTGATCTTGGAAGGAGTTTTCTTGCTAACTTGTATCCCAAAAACAAATGCATCCTCAGTACTTCTATTCTTAGAATTGGAACTGGTCTTCGGCAATGGAAGATTGGGAACACAAGAACACAGGGAATGGTCAAGTACGCATATTGAGAAACACCCCAAGTGAGCTGGGTTCTCTTCTTGTCTACAGCAGTGTTTCCCGACCCGGTCCTTAGCGACCCCCAGACGGTCCATGTTTTCTCCGGTGCAGACTGTCTGGCAGGAAGCTGGGCGGGAGCAAGACTGTGGACCCTATGGGGGTCCCCAAAGAACTAGGCTGGGAAAGACTGGTCTACAGCACCGGGATGTGGGAATGTGATTTTGCTGCTTTTTTCTATATTTAAGAGAAGGGGAGACGGAGTAATACCTCTATATCCCAATTATTAATTGTAGAGCTGTGCTACATGTCTGTGGGACCTTGAGCTAGGCCCTTAACCCCCAGCTTCATGGATGCCGCTGCAGGTGGCTGCCCTTCACTGCCAAGCTTGTTTTCCCCTACATATGTCATGGAGAGCAAGATGGGATGAGCAAAAAGAATTTAACTACGGGGATCAATAAAGTGTCATTATTATCAGTTTTATATAGGCTGGCAAATAAAACTTTTTTTCAAGTGAGTAACTGATTCAGGTATCTGTCATCACCAGCTGTCCAAAAGACAAATGCTGTACAGCTTAGTTTCATTTAAGCAACATTTTCATGATTGTGTGACATCAGAGGCATCGGCTTCCTGAAATCAGCACACCGCCGGATTTCATGTGAAAGTGGTTTAATTTAAAGGGCTGTACATGTACTAAGTGCTGTGCAAAAGTATAATCTTACAGTAGAATGACAGGGCTGTTCCCAGTGCCTGCCTCAGTTGGTAATCAGTGTTACTGGTACTGCCCAAAGCCCTAAACCTCATTGGTATATAGAGAAATCCACCCCTCCTGGCAGTCTGTCATAAACATTGTGATAATCTTCCATGAAAGGCTGAACACAAAGGGAAAAGCCCTGATTATGAAGAAATGACTGGCTACATAGCTACAAGAGACAAATTGCATTTTGTGCTCATATTTTAGAACAAGGACAGATTAACCTCCCTGGAACAGCATGATTTCAGAAGATAGAACCATAAGAGGAACAGGAATCTCACAGATTTCAGAAGCATATGTAGTTCAAACTTTACCTGTCCACTTCTTCACTGTTTTATTCTTCAGAATTACCTGATATTTTACATTGCCTCACTTTTTAAGTTTGGGTTTGCTCTTCAGGAACGCAAAAGTGCCTCTGGGATGGCAATGAGTCTGTTTTGAGTTGGGCTGAATTGAAAGAGAGTGCTGGAATGAGAAAGAGGAGAGAGGAGGCTCGTCTCCTGGGTGGGTGGGGAGGGGGGGAGGATGAGCAAGGGATGGGAATGAGGAGCGAGATTAGATCCCTGAGGGTCAGAACCCGCATCTCTCCTCTCATTCTGCAGGCAGGGAAACGTTCAGCTGACACAGCCCAGCTAGCCTGACCTGTGCTTTCCTGGGGGATCTGGCTTGGAACCGAGCAGAAAATGAGAAAAACAGTCAAGATGTACAGAGATATTGTGAGTGCTTCTGAGAATTTGAGACGGACAGATTTTGCAGAAGGTATGTATATTCAATTAAGTGGCCACTTTATTAGGTACATCTAGATAATGTAGGATATGATCCAAGGGTAGATGAGTGGGTCAGTACAAACCATTCTGCACCCCTGTTGTACTGAGCTGTTATTGTTGCACTTGTGGCTGTCCTGTTAGCTTTAATGACTCTGGCCATTGTCCTATGACTTCTCTCATTAAAAGGGTTATTTTGGTGTCAAATGCTATTCACTGAATGTTGTTCATTCATCATACCATTCTTTTTATCACTAGACACTGGTTATTGAGAAGAAAAGAGTCACGATGGTGGCTGTTTCCGAGAGGCTGGAGACGCCTTGTCTGGCATCACCAATCACACCACATTCATACCTGAATCATTAGATCTCAGCCATTCTGATGCTTAGTCTAACAATAACTGTAACTCTTGGCTCTATCTGCAGGCTGCATGTATTGAATTGTAGCCACATGATTTGCTGTATGAAGCAACAGCCGGTTCATGTTAACAGGCAGATGTTGTTAATAATCAAGCCAGCTGTGTATGTGCACCCATGCATCAAGCAGAACTGAACTTAAAGTTATTAAAGTTATTGCAAAAATTTCAGATAGTGTCCTGCGATGGACTGGTGTCTGCCTTGCATCTTGCACCTGCAGCTTCTATGACAGGCTCTGGACCCCCAGTGACCCTGAATAAAACAAGCAGGTACAGAAAATGGTTGGATGGATGGATGAATGGAAGGAATTTTGTATTGGTTCATGCTGCTGAAAAGTATATAACTGCTATATTTTGATAAATATGAAAGCCGTGGATTAGAGGGAAAGCCTGAATCAGGTATGAGTGCTCTAGAGGTACCTCTAGTCAGGTTTAATATTTATTCGGACTGTTTGATAGCTGTGCCTTTGCTCTCCCAGGAATAAAAAGCCTCAAAGTTTCTTATACTTTTTACTTCCAATTTGCAGCATTTTGCTTTTTATGTTTAAGGCTGAGATGAGTCGCACAGGACTGCATGGGCCTGTTTCTGATGTTTAAAGCTTCAAAGTCTCCGCCTCTGGGTTCCATCTTAAATCTCCAAATTGCCATAAATCTACAGCTTTTCTACAAAAGCAAGCCGGTATCACTCCCAGAATAAGGGTCCAATCCTCATGCATATTCATATCGTTTCTTATACACCTGGAACACATCCTGACCAGTGTGTCCCCTGCCTCTCGCTGTCTGCAATAAGCTCCTAGACGTAGTAGTGGCTGCTGGATGAGCATGAACATGGAGGCACATGTGGAAAATTATCCTGAGCATAAACACTTCCTCACAAAGTCTGTTGATGATCTGTTAAGCTGACTCCACACTGTTGTACAAACGTGAACACATTTGGACAACCTGATTTTGCCGAGTTTTATGTGTCCCTGGGTAACAAGGGAGGGGCTTGTGGTTCACTTCACATGATGTCACATTCGAGTTAAACCCATTCCAGTACCAGTCGGAAAGCCATTTTGTCATGCCCTGCTCGTGCCAATCCTCCTGTGTGCCACGCCCCCCTCACTACCTCATGTGTCAGCTGTTTTGAGTTGTGTTAATTAGTCTGGGGTATTTAAGTCTGTGTGCTTTGTGGGAGTCCGGTCATTAACGTTGTGCAGTGGTGATATGTTCCTGCTTGTCTTTTCCCAATTAAATCCTGAAGTTCATCCAATTCCTTTAGTCTTGCTCCTGCTTTTCTGGTCCGTGCCCCATGAGTCATGACACATTTAACAATTCCAGGGACCAGGATTTCTTGCTTAGCTGGATAACCTGTTGGATTTAAGATACCCAAGTTAAAATGGTCTTTCTTTGTTTGCTCACATTAAGCCCAGACTACCATAAATCCTGACAGGTTATTCAGTTAAGAAATAAATCCTGCTTTATGAAACAGGCCCCACTTCTAGCCAGGTTCATTGTCAGCTATTGTTTGCAATGTCAGTTGATAAGAAAACATTATTTGGTATTTTGCACGTACCAACATCATAGCAACGTGTCCACAGAGAGCAGTTGGACAGTATTGTGCGTATGACCGATTTAATAATAATACGTTTTATTTATATAGCACCTTTCTCACACTCAAGGATGCTTTACAATACAGACAAATACAACATAATAGAGCAGTGCTCACGGCAACAACAACAAGAATGTTACATACTGGTAAACACATTATAGCATTCCTGAAATAAATGAGTTTTCAACTGGAGCTTGAAGATATTAACAGACTTCACCTTTCGCAGACTGTGAGGAAGCATTGCAGGTGCTGTCATTCAGAACGGCCTTCCAGCCACAGAGCATAATCTGAATTTGTGTACAGTAAGGTCAGACAGATATTGAGGGGCAAGTCCATGGAAAGATTTGTAACTGATTAGTAAATTTTTGTTTTGATTCTATAAGTGACAGGTAACCAATCATGAAGAAAAGGAGCAATGTGGGTGGATTTTCTTGTGTAAGTAAATGGGTGGTAGAGGTCTGAGAAATCCGGACGGGAGGCTGGAGAAAAATACATTACAGTAGTCAAGGCAGGTAGTTGTGAAGGCATGGATTAGTGTTTCAGTGTCGGTAGCACTGAGGAATGGATGAAGATGTTGCGGAGCTGAAAAAATGCAGTCTCTACTAGAGAACTAACATATGAGTGAGGTAAGGAACTCATTGAAAATTATGGCCAAGTTACAGACTGTGCTTGATAGTTCACCTAGGACTCCCATGACATTGATTTGTATCTCAGGCAAAGTAGACAGGAGTGATTTAGTACCAACCAGAAGAATTTCAGTTTTATCAGAGTTAAGCTATAAAAAGCTGTAAGTCATCCTGTGCTTGATTTTGCAGAGGCAGCCATTCTGTGAAGATGGTGGCATGGATATACTTGTATCAGCACTTACATATAATTGAGTGTCATCAGCATACTGTAGCAATGGAAGCTGAGGCCATAGTGATGCATGATTTGACCTAATGGGAGCATATAGATGGTGAAGCGTATTGGACCTAGAACTGATAACTGGGGGACACCCTGTGTGAGAGGAGCAGTAACAGATCTGTGTGACGATATAAACAAAATACTGTCGGTCACTGAAGTATGATGTAAACCTGGTAAGAGCAGCAGCGGTAATACCAGTATCTGAAAGGAGGGAGAGAATGATTTTATGCAGAGCTTAGGTCAAGGGCATTCAAGTTTAAGTTTCTGACTAGGAACTTGGAAATTCTGGGCCGGTATGCATAAAACTTCTCAGAGTATAATTTCACTCTTAAATGCCTCACAATTCTAAGATTGACGTGATTTTGCTCCTACTCCCAGACTTAAGAATAAGTGGCATGCATAAACTTTCTTAAGTGTTAAGACTTGGTCTCAGCTCCTAAATTATTTAAGAGAGCTGGAGAGGACTGCTAAGCCAGTTAGGAGTTGAATGATGGCAGCTGCACTACGCGCACCCAGACAGAGACCGTGCACTTTCCGTCAAAGAAAGGACGTCCTGCAGACGTACGACAATAATGAATTGAGGTCATGAGGGCATTCATTTTGTTACCAACCTAATTAGGAACCGGATACAATCTCCTACGTCACCTAAAAATGCACTTATAGTTGAACTGAAGATGATAATGATGCTACGTTTTTGGCAACTGGAAAAATATAATAATAATAATAAATAATCATCATCATCTATTATAGTGAGGGTCATAAGAGCAATATAAGTAAAGACACAAACCCGTAGCTTGCATGCTTACTTTATAAACTGTGATTTCCTTTCGCGAGGTCGATAAAACATTATACCACCTTTTTTCACATTCCTCTGCTGAACGCCTTGTCCGAGGTGACGCAGCATTTACGGAGCTTGCAATAGCCTCCTAAGCTTTTTTTGTCCGTGCTTGTAACAGCTGGGCCAAACTTTCCTCGCACTACCTCCTTCCATTTAAGCACCAACTGTACCAAAAGAACCGTTTTGTTTGTCGTCCAGTTTGGTTTTCTTTTAGAATCCAATGTCTTGCTATGAGTTTTGCGTTTGACCCATAATTTATACAACTTGTGCATCTATTAGTGGAAATTGATCGGTGATGTGCTAGGTAGATTTTCGTACAACCAATTAAAGGTATAATCACAGAAAGGTATGTTGCATAAAGCTGTACATTAACGGTTTAATGTCACTAATATATTCACCGTGCAGCTCCTCTATTGGTTGAACTCAGTATTTGGGGCGGGATTTTATTTGTAGTCCTCATTTCACGACACTTAAATGCTGGCTCCGTCAGCACTTAGGAATTGGGCTTAGACTTTGCTGAAAGCTACTTTTAGCAGCTTTATACAATGCTCTTAGGTCCTACTTTTTGCTAAGTTTTTTTTTACTCTTAAGTCCAAGTGTACGACGATTCTTAAGACCATTTCTAGGAAGTTTTATGCATACCGGCCCTGATCTTTTCAAATCAGGTTTGAGTCCCTTTCATGTGTGATCTGATGACATATCTGATTCATGGCCATACGACATGAATGGGAACAGTAAGATGGGAATTCATGTGGGGTTTTGCCTATACGCCTGCGCTGAGCACTGTCGTCATCGGCCAACACCAGCCACGTGGCAGAACCACAATGGAGGATGCCTACAGCCGTGGCAAAATGTATCAACCTGAGCATGCATGCCATTTTGGAATAAAGATGCATTCATATTACAGTTAGATACATGTCAATCATAATTATGAATCTGAACCATTGTCACGTCAGGAACAGGGAAGCAGGCGAAGGGAGCCGTGGATACGAATAAACGGGATTTATTGTGGGGTAACACACTCCAAGACGGTGTTACTGTGACATTTCTGCGAGCGATGGGGATCGTTGTGAGCTGCTGGTTGTCCTGTGTCGGGCTGCAATGCAAGGTATTAAGCGATGATGGTTGAATGGTGTGGCAGTGTACATTTTTCTTTTTTTGGGTATAATAACTACCGATCTAGACTGGGTGCCGGGTGACGGGGGCGTGTCTGGGTTTATACCGAAGCCCATGTATGATGCTGGTGGATATATGGTGTATATAATAATTCCTGAACTCATGTATTTTGGTGGGTATGGTATAAATTGTGTGCATACTGTATGTCTGCAGGAGTTGTCATTGCTGTTTTGCCTGTTTCCGTTTTCTTTTATTTCCTTTTTAATTGCGAGAAGATGTTGTGGTTTGTGTTTTTTTTGGTACGGTTGTGAAAAAAAGGCTTAACAGAGGTATAAATAAGAAAATAATTAAGCAAAAAGTGCAAAAATAGCAGCACCTGGGCGGGACGTAGCAGCTGCGGGAGATCTCCCATGATTAGCTCCGCTTCTTAAGCGGAAAGAACTAAACAGACAATGCGAAGTATTGTTGCCATGTTCAGGAACATCTTTTGTCTTTTGTCTCTCCCGTTTTCCCTGCCTGCTGCGTCCTGCCCGCCCTGCCCTGCCTTCCCGACCTGCCTGTTCCACCCCGTCATCCTGGTCTGCCTCGCCTGACATCCCTGCCTTACCCGTTTCCATCGATCCTCCTTCCCCGTCGTTTTCTCGTCCTGTGTTTAATCGTAAGACTGACTTCTTTGGCTCTCGACCTCCCGCAACCGTCCCGACCACGATTCTTGCTTTCTGTCTTGGCTTTGTCTGCAACCGGCTTGTCCATTAAACATCTGGTCTCCTGCAACCCGGGGTCTATCTCCAAGTTACCTTCTTTGCATTACAATTGGCAGTTTCTGCATTAAATTTTTTCCAAAACCAGGACTTTTTTCAGGAACCAGGAACTTCATTCGCTTTCCCAACGCAGGAACTGATAGTAGTTCCTCTGAGGCTCTTCCGGAACCTTTTTTTAGTCCCTACTCCATACTAGGCACTTTTCGTTTGACCACAAGGTACTGGCTGGTTGACCACAAGCTCCAGCACTATCTTAGAAATCATGCAGAAGTGTATCTCATTTACACTAAATGCATTAATGAATACCTTTTTTTCTTGCGTCTCCGTATTTCTGCATCAGAAAATTTGATAGATTTCTAATATACTTTTGTGTAATATCAGCGGTGCTGTTGATGAAACTTGCTAGTGCTTAATAGTAGAATAAAATAACATATTTCTGTGTATTTTCTGTGGAAAATGAAACATCAATCTGCTGGGCAGATTTAATAATGAATTATAATCATGTTGCGGGTCTTATAAGTACAATATAAATAATAAATGTGTCCTGTTTCTTGACTGCACAATCAAATCCCCCCAATAACTAACAAATAACTAACAAAACAACTTACTTATCCCCCATTGTTCAGTGATGGCAGTGTAGAATTGTATGAAGTTATGTGTGAAATTTAACCTAGTGTGCCTTTTGCGTCTCTCACGCTTCTTTAGCATAAAAGTTACTGTTGTGTGGTGGGAAAGTGACACATGAATGTAGCCAAGAGCTACAAAAGATCCCAGATGAAACAGCCCAGGAACCAGGTTCTGGAACATTGGTGGGAAAGCGCTTAATGTACCAGAGAGTAAAAACAATCTGGGGTCTTATAAGTGGGTTCTGCAGAATCTGGAGAGTAGCTCCTGGGAACAGTGTGGTTGTATGGCCAACATCTCCAGCTACCTCCAACTCTATCTGCACTTTGTGTTGGTTCCAAACCAGCAATCATCAGCAAGGTGCTGGAGTGCAGCCTTCAGCTTCACCTGTAGATGTCCTCCAGTACATGAATGAATATATCCATATCCGAGCTTAGCTTCTGAAAGTCCTGCCTCTGGCCCAGATGCGTGTGTGCATGCAACATACCTGAGGCTTTGTCATCCATAACCATTCAGATTAGTGTTTGCTGCCCATTGCATGTTGTTGTTTTCATTGATTATATTTTCACCCCTCTGGAGTTGCATTACTTATGAATATGAATGGAATGCTTATGCAACAAATTAATTACTGAAGCAGCGTGCTACATAGTCCAGCTACCCATCATGTGTGGCCAGGAGCTGACTGGTGAGGGAAGTGATTCATGCTGACATATTCGGAAGAGCAAAGGGCAGCGGTGTGAGCGCCGTGTGGTGCTGCAGTCTTCGGGGAACACAGACGAGAGGCTCTATCAGAACATCTCTCTGCTGCCACTAGAAACCCTGCGGCCATTAGCATTAGGGGAGAGGCCAGAGTTTCACTGGCAAATGGTTGCTAGGGTGAAGAAGTGGGATATACATAAATGGCCAGCTATGAGTCTGCTGGGGGAGGCCGGCCGGGAGCTGCGGCAGTGCAGGCCCAGGCTCAGCCCGTCTGGGGTCGCATTTCACTCTGCTCACATCCCACAGTAACACTCAGCCTCCCCAGCCCCAAATCTCACATGTTCTTCAGAGGTATTTTTCAGGTGCTGTGTTACTGCCATAAACGTTATGTTTAACCTCTTTGCTTCCCCCCCCCCCAAGGCCCTAAAGAATGACTGACCTTGCTGGAGCCTCCAGAAAAGCTTTGCATCAGCAAGACTTCTCCTCCGCCTCGCCCTCTGCCTCGTCCCCTACGACACCCCATTTGGTTGCTCCTCCCACTTTTTCTGCTCTCTCTTTCCATTTCTTCCTCCCTCTGCTCATTCTCTGTCTCCTTTATGTCAACTCCGCTATGGTTTTTCTTTTTCCACAACCCATAACACGGCAGTGTACACCCTCGGCCTAGCCTGACAATGCCAGCCAGTCCCACCGCTGCCTGGGAATCCCTCAGAGCCGAGACACGTGGTGCCGTCGCACGGATCTCGGTGGATCTGCCCACTGGCCCAGACCCAGTGGCAAGAGCAGCCTGAACTTCCACAATCAGCACCAGGAGGCCCACCCAGGAGCTGGGGCCCATTGCCCAGCAGGAACCAAATTCTTCCTTTATCTAGTAATTCGTACCCAAACCCAGTGAGACTGTGATTTCAGTTTTGGACTCTGTTTGTATTCTGTCCTTAATGAATAAAGAGCAGTGGGCACAGGCCGTGCTGGTGGAGGGAGCAGCCGTGTGTTTAAAAGCAATTTGAAAAGGTGACTTAGAACATAAACTCTCCAATGGATGGCTGCTCCGTAATTAAGTGCTGGGTGCGCAGCAACTTGCTAAGCTGAGATAAGGGGGCTTTGGAGCATAAAGGATGTAATTAGCTGTATTTATTGCTGGTGGCAGAAGGCCTCCGGTGTGTAAATACTGCATTCCAACTCTATAATTACACACAATTTACACTTTCTTCACTCAAAGTGGAGGCCGGCATACAGGGCAGGCTTAGGCAGGGCATGCAGCCGGCCAGAGGGCTTATTAGCTTCTGTGGGTTTATTAAATATGCACACGCATACAATGTCAATCATTATGGGGAATTCTGCTACATTTTTAATTTATTCTAGAATGACTCTAGAATGAGAAAGCATGATGATTATGGAACTGGATGGAAAGTTACAGGCTGAATCCTAGGAGGGCCCTGATTTGGCGGTGGTGAGCAAGGTGCTTAATATAAACCGCTTCAGTCAAATATTGGGTAGTGAAATGCAAAATGCATTGTACAAGTATACAAATTGTACAGATAAATAATACATGCACAGCTATTGGGACAAACACTACGGTATAAACTGCAGATAAACACTTTCTCATGCCAATGAAAATATTGAGTTTTTCACATTCACACTGTGTCCCATACAATTAGAGCAGGAAATGGTGCTGCAAGTAACTGTGGTGCCTGCAGGATTTTATCCCCCCCCACACACACACACACTCATTCCCGACTATTGTTACAGGACTGTGGTACACCATGTGACAGGAAGAGGGGGTAGGAAATAGTAATATAATAAAGAGCAGACGAGAGTTTATGCTTAGCATTTCTTGCATTTAGAAATGAATTTTTATACAACAAATCAATTGTGTTCTTCCTGCACTGCAAAGTCTATTTGACAGTCCCATTCATATCAGTAATGATCACGTTAGTGGTGCATCAATGTGGAACTTTCTATTGGCACCTGTGAGGGACCAGCAAGCAGACTCAGGGGCACAGAATTAGTTACTAACCAAAAACTTTACTGAAAATCGAAAAGTCATCAAAATACAAAAGCATATCCAACAAAGGAAAATCCAGGGCCCAATAAAATGAGGTCAACCAAACAGAATGAAACCAAAATTAAAGCAAAGCATAACCCAACCTACACTAAACACAACTGACCTCCTAAATAACACACTGTGGAAACATATATACTGGGTGATCAATCCAGCAACACACACAAGGAGGGAACCCTACCATAACATTTATACCTACATGCCACTAACTAAATAAACCCCATAACATATTGAGCCCATAAGATTATACAAACAATTTTATAAAGAAAAACCTAAATCAAAAAATGTTAACAAAGAAATAACAAACAACTATGCCACAACCCAGCTCCTCATCCCCCTTCTGTGGGCACCTGTTGGTACTGCCACTGGGGATTAAAAGGGAACCATGACCATCCAGGCCGTTTGTCCGTCGGACCAATAAAATGCATGCACCACTTCCCATTTCACCCCAGGTAACTGCAACATGTTGTTGTGGTCATCTCAGGCCATCACAGCACCAATAAACCCACATACACATCATTCACAATTATGGACAATGTGGTAACTCCAGTTCATGTATGATATCAGTATGATAAGGGAGGGGTGGCAGCCTTACCCACGGCAACACTGAGAGGACAAACTGCACACACATGGAGCGAGGGCGGAGACTCGAACCCTGGTCCTAGAGGTGCTAACTACTGCACCACCAATAAATATACAACTGATTTTTTTTGTCAAAGACACTGATATGCAGCTAACCATTGAACCACTTCCCACAAAGGGGGATATTGCCAACAGTGAAGCTTGCGGGTGCAGTTTAGTGGAATGAGGTTACATAGTTGTTAATTTTGTGGAAAACAAACGATTGATTTTATTGCGGGGCCGTACTGTAACACCACTCATAAGTGCTGAATGAGCAGATGAAATTCTTTGTCCTCACTATGTAAAACGACTGATCGTCCAATGCCATCATCTTTGTTATTTCAGTTTTGTGTCTTTAGCTCCTGTGCTGCTAAATTTAAATATCGATAACATTTAAATATAGGCGTTGACCAATATATCATGCATGTCTACATATTTTTTGTTCCATCATCATAAAGACAATTTGTAATGCAAAATAAAAGATAAAAATAAAGAGAGAAATAAATTGTTCAAGAAATGTGAGAAAAAATTGCAATCTGGATTCTGAATGGGGGGAAAAAATGCGATATTTTACCCAGAATCCTGCAGCCCTACTCCTCTATTTATGTGTATGTTTCAGACAAAAACAATGCCAAACAAAAACATGTAACCAAAGCCTAATAATAATAAGTCTAAATGCCAAGGGTACCCTCAGTGTGTACAGGTGTACAGCTGCAGGCGCCCATGCCGTAGACAAGGGAACAGGGGCCAGCCAGCGTCGCAAGCCGGATCAGTGCCCAAGCTGGATATGTTGCATTTACAGCAGCCCTGGGGGTCCTGAGCTGGGGAAGGGCCTGCAGGGACGTCACCCTGGGCCTGTTCTTCTCTAACATGCCTGGATGCCATGGTAACTCTTTTGCAAAATTGACGCTTTCTTGTGGCACTGGGTGTGACTCTGCTCATGCTGATTCGAGATTCACATCAAGATTCTTTATTGTGATCTCATAAAATAAGGAGACATGAGCACAAACATTTGTGTGCCATGTCCCACGTGGCCGCCATTCTCCAGGGCCACCACACAGTTTGTGATGAAATAAAGACTTGCAAAAAAATTAAATAGATAAAGTTTCTACTCATCATTCGCACCACTGGCAAACATAAAAAAAAAAAATATTTAGAATAAATAAGCAATATATACACACCGGCCTGCACGTGTGCAGGTGTGATTGCCATGCACGATTGTAGGATGCAGCAGCTTTTGGTGTTTAATGTTGCATGCACAATCCCACACATGCAAACACACAGTTCCATTGTTTCAAAATATTTGTGTGCACCACCCTGCTGAGCCTCGTGGGTCACTGTGGTCTTCATGCATCATATGCATTTCCTGCTAAAGCATGTTGTGATATGGAAGAAGTGTGTGCATTTTAGGTTAACACTTTCCCTGCATCGCATTTTGCATGCAGCGTGTGCATTTCCCTGCACGGTGCTGCAGACGTACACAGTTTGGTGCATTCTAATGTGAATGTGCTTTGTGCATTTCCTAAACATGCCGGGGTATAGCTGCCTCAGCAGAATGTCCCATAAGGCACCTCTTCTGTGGGTGTGCAGGGGGTTCAGTTAGCAGGGATAACCATGTCTGCAGACGCTCACTTCAGCTAGCTGTGTAGCATTTACTATACTGTAGCTCTGTACATTATTACGGGCAGCAATAACTGGCCACTTTTGTTGTCTCCTTCTATCATCTCATTTATTTCTTTTATTTGTCCTTTCTTCCCATTTTATTTCTTCCGTTGTTTTTGGAGATAAGCTGCACACAAAAAAATAATAAAATCCCATCACTTCACATTGTTATCTGAGGCTGTCCGTGCAGAGTTAATGTATGTAGAGTGTTATAGTTTAAGACAGACAGAACAATTTCTATGTAAAGTGCCTCTGAATGCTGCTTCCCTCACAGCTGTGTCTTCAGGCCGCGAAAATGAAATCTGTGAGAGCGGGCAGAGCGAGGGGAATTGCAGGCAGCAGACTGGGCGCGATGCTTTTCTGTCCGATAACCCCGCTGGATGATGCTCCATCCATTTAAATAGCCTTATCTGTTCCCCTGTAGACACTCAGAAGCCTGCGCCAGCAGAATGGCAGGAACTGCAGAGGATCAGTAGGAAAATGAGTGCAGGCCTCACAAAGCATTACCATATAAATAACCCGTCAGATACAAGAGGAGAAAATGATCAATATGTGTGTGCGTGTGTGTGTGTGTGTGTGTGTGTGTGTGTGTGTGCGTGTGTGTGTGTGTGAATTATGTATATATTACATTGTAGGGGACCAAATGTTCACCACAATGTAATAAAAAGATTTTTACATTATTTCGACGAATTTTCAGGTCCCCACAAAGATCTGTGAATGCAATCAAAAAAATTAAAAATGGCAAAAATATCATATTTAGTTTGGTTACTTATGGTTAAGGTTAGGGCTGGGTGGGGGTTAAGGCCTTCATATTGGGATTAGAATTTTCCCCATAAAAATGAATGGAGAGTCCCCACAAAGATATAATTACAAACCTGTGTGTGTGTCTGTGTGTGTGTGTGTGTGCACGCACATATTTGTTTCCTGAAAATTGGCAGTGTTTCTCCTGACCTCTCATCTACACGAATGTTGCCCTGCTCTGTTCAGGGAATCTCTTTCTGCTGATGAATGTTTTAACGCGGTTAATAAGGGACACCATCCTTACCTTGTGCTGTGGTCTGGTCCCTGCTCTACCCCTCACCGCCATGAAACCATCCTTCATGCTGACAGACCATCCTTCTGTGACACTGTCAACACTCAATCCTGTCTCCTTTCTTTATTTTTCAGCATGGTTTATTTAATTTTTTTTCACTGT